GGTATAGAATACCCCTTTGGCCAGTTTGGCTGTGCCCCCTCCCAGCTTCTTGTGCCCCTCCAGCCTTCTCAGTCGGTAGAGCATGGAAAACTGAAAAGTCCTTGGCTAGTGTAAGCACTGCTTAGCAACAGCTAAAACATGGGTGTGTTATCAACATTGTTCTCACCCTAAATCCAAAACACAGCACTGTACCAGCCACTAGGAAGGAAATTAACTCTATCCCTGCCAAAACCAGGACATAGGGGTAGTAAAATAAATTTAAAAAGCATTCCAATAAAACAGGAGTACTCTAAATCATTTATGAGTTGGTTGGTTTTTGGTTTGGTTTTTTTTTGTTGTTGTTGTTGAGGTGTGTGTCACATCCCCCCTCTTCCCAAATTTTCCTCAGTATTTCATTCCCTTTACCCTTAGTTTTCCAAGTCTCTTCCCAGGCCTATTCCAGTTGAAAAAGCTTTCTCCTCAATTTGTATCACAAGACCGGTCTCCCATCTCTCTTGAAAACACGTTTTCTCAGTTGGTTTTTTTTTTTCCCTTCTCTGTCTCCATCTGCTCTTGCACAAGATATTCTCCTATTTGCATTATATAGGAGTTAGATCATGGATTATTTGGGGCAGTCTGTTCTTTCTTAACTTTATAAAGCACTTTGCAAGTTACAACATAATAAAAACAGCTAAACTTAATAAAAACAGGCAGTGTTTATCTAAATGGCAAATTCTGAGGCTTTTAATAGATTATATTCTGAAAATTCAAGAGAGGCTGAACCAATTCAGAGAAATGTGGTCTTACAAGGATTCTTTAAAGATAGCCCCTTTCAACAATACACATTTCTGATACACACAGTTCTCTAGAACAGGTGCACATTAACACCTCTTAGAAGTCAGAAAGAGCCTTAAAATGGAATTACGTAATTGGATGGCACAACAGAAACAAGCTTATTTCTGCTAATGAAATTATATAAATCTACTGAATTTTGAAGGCTTTTAATATTGTTTACTTAGCTATTCAAAAGTCTGTCCTGAATTCACAGGGAAACACTCTATGATCAAAAAGCCTTGAAAGAAAAATCCAGATTCCTGGAAATCCTCCAATGGCATAATATCAGAGATGGAAGAGACTGCTGAAAAGACACTAATCTCCACAAGGGTGAAGCAGAAAAGAACATATATGTTTTTCTTTAAGGATTTTGGAATTCAAAACATCACTTGAACTAGGGTCAATTACAACATACTCTGTCCTGACAAACACAGGAAAAATGCCATACAGCTATATACACACACGCTTGTTCTAGAGATCACAAAAAGTTACAGAACTATGGCTTTTTTGTTTTAATGAGCCCACCACCACAATGCCACAAAAATAAAATGGAAAATAAGAAGTAAAATTCAGGGTTAAAAACAGGAACATCAAAGCTAAAAAATAATTTAGCTGGACATGTCTTACTGTCTGTGGACAAGTCAGACTATGTAAATCCTGTAAGAAAGTTTAGTTGGACAATTAGATTACAGGATCAACGCAGAAGAAGAGTACAACATGGATCAGGTTCTGTATTTTGAGAGTGTACCTGTCAATAGCTTGAAGATCATTTGCTGGGTTCCATGTAGGATCAAACAGTATTACAACATTGGCACCAACAAAATTAAGACCCAGTCCACCAGCCCTAAAAACATAAAAATGAAAAAATAGAACTATTTGACAGTAAGAAAAACAGAACAATTTTTTTTTTCAGTGTATTAGGTCTATATTAGCATACCCTTCCCCAACATAAAAAAAGAGCACAACAGAGATACTGAAAATAGTGGGGTACAGCTTTGTGTTACTGTTGTGTTAATAAGCACCAAGTACTTAAATAACCACTGCTGCAAAATGCAGTTGTCTCACCTAATTAGCAAGAAGATTATAAACTCTATGACTAGCTGAGTCATAACCAACTGCTATCACCTTACTATAGTAGAAGTCCTGATTGCTACTCCATACACACTAAGCCCTCCAGGCCAACTCCCCCAACGACTATACCGAAATTCATAACCACTTTTATGCCAGTTAACATTATAGAAGCAGGAAAACTATAGCTTAAATAAAAGTCTGCATTAAATTTTACTTCCTCTAATCCCAGAACATAGTTTTGACAATAATGCTATGCAGCTTCCACTAAAATGGTCACAGTCTAAGGTTAAGTCATATCTATAAGAATTAACAACTGTCACAAGTATATTTGTACAGTATGTAAGTCAACTGTTAAAAATACAGTTGGCCACACAGCTGCATATCATCAACATTCATACCTGTCATTACAAGGAAAAAAGTCACTGTAAGAAAATTGTCTGCTGTGGGGATAAGGAGTCACAGGGGTACCAGTTACATTGTCTTAAATATTCAACAGCTGTACTGTGCTTTCAGGTAAAGCCTGCAAGCCAGCAAAGAATTTGAGCATGTGCTTAACCTGAGGTAGCTAACTAATGCCCTTGCTGAATCTAACAAAACTGCTCAGTTACTTGGAGTTTGGCATCAGCATAGCTGATGATTTGATAGGAACAAAAGTGAGGAAGATACCACTTCTCATCCAGCTGCAAAACAAGCAAATACTGAAAATTCTTTTCAACTGGCTCAACCAATGTTCCTACAAAGAAAAAAGTTCTTATACAAGCAGATGCCAAATGCTACTATTAATTTAACTATTAAAACAATTCGTTACATTGACATAGACAGCACTAATTTCACATGTGCTCTTTTCTGAATGAGGTACCACAAAATTGAAAAAGCCAATCCCATTTAATAAAACCAAGCACCTGGTTTTAATAGATTACTTTATATTCTGCTTGTTTAAAGCAGTGGGAAAGGTAAAGTTTCGAGGGATGTGAATAAATGGAGACAGAAACCAAATCTTGTAGAGCCCCACCACCTTTTCGTCTTCATGGAAACCTTGTTAATGCAAATACAGTTGTGGCCTCTTCCTTCCAGGTGTAGTATGGTGTTGGGTTAGTTAAATCTGGAAAGGGAGAGGATGTGGGAACTTGCCAATATTAACGGAGGTTTCCGGAGGATGAGCGCTCTCAAAGTTTGAAATGCTGAATAAAAATCTTTGTATTTTTCAGAATACCTTACTGTATTTTGGAATTTTGGTGTATTTCTTTTTAGCAAGGACAGAATTCACCCTCTCATCTTACCAAACCAACCCTGCAGTCAGACAAACATAGGTCAACATGTTTTTCCAAATGCTTTCTCAAAAAAAATGGAACTGAAATATGAATTAAACCTCAGTACAAAGCCTTAGTGTCAGTAAAACAGACTGACTATGAAAGTTAAGTAAACAGGATACCTAGCTTTATAAAGATTTTAACTTTTCAATATTTTTAGGTATACCACAAAAATTCAGATATTCCAAAACAAAAAAAGAATGGCTTCTATGCCCTTCATGGACAAAATGAACGCAGTAGTTAGTTTGTGCATTGTAAAGAGTATCTTCCATTTTAAATATCATTTTAACCAGAGGTTAAGTTCATTATTGCAAGATGGTCCATGCAAATTACTATAATGCAGCTCAAATGAAGAGCCCTGTACGAAATGTCTCATAACAGTTCTGTAACAAACAACAGTTTTCAAAAGATCATCTTATTTAAAACTGCATGCTGTGTTAAATAAATGGCTTGGTTTTATATCCTGTCACTGTCAATTTAATACCACAATGTTCAGAAGTTACAAAACAATGTTGCATTAGGGAAGTTTCCATGAAAGCTGTAACTACGTAATTCTATTTACTGAGGTAAGTTTTTTATAGTTTGTAAGTTCTGTTTCAGTGAGATCTTGTGGCTGAGAGTTCTTTGAATGTGATTACACGCATATTAAAAATTATTTACAACATAGTTGTGAAGAATTCAAGTTAAATGAAGCCCTGAAAAAGTACAAGTAATGGACAGCAGTCCAGTAATGGACAGTAATTGAGAACGCTGCGGGTAGAAAGGAAGTGCTATCTGTAACCATCTCTTCATCATCTTGTCTTTATATAATAAAGAAAACTGAGAAGCAGAAATAGATTTGCATTTATAATTATTCTGAAGGAATTAATCTAGAGAAAGACTAGCATGGAAAACCCAGAGAATAGTGATTTAGCTTTAAAGGTAGGAACAATTGCTGCTCTTATTTCTTCCAGAACACTGCAATGGAACAGGACTGTGTAGACTTCAGTATTGTACATATGCAGTTCCCCTTCTTCAGGCTAAGCAGCATCAATGGAGTTGCAAGCTCTGACATTCTCCTATCAAGTTATAGCAGCTCCAGCAATTATTTTAATGTTTCTAAGCATGACCAAAAATCCCCTTCCTTTCTTCCAAATAATCATACCTTTTCCCATCAACACCAGCACAGAACTGAAGTATTCTGAAATAGACTTTTACTTCATAAGCCTTAAAAGTTTCAACAGATGTATACCTATTTTTCGATAAAGCTCAAGGCTGAAATTCATAATCTATACCTACTGGTTTGATGGAATTTACAAGCTCTGAAGAAATCAATCATATTTTCTCTCAACACCCATAAAATATATTTATCCATATAGCTATATTAGTCATAGCTATCCATAAAAGCATTATGGATAGCTATGTGACTATGTTTGATACTAACATTAACTGCAAAACTTGAGGTTAAGCTATATAGATATAAATAGATTTTTTTTTTTACTTTATTGTTGAAGCCCCTATTTCTTAAAAAACGCACCAACCAATTAAAATCAGGATTTCCAAATGTCTACAGGCTACACATAAGCAATTCCAGGCAGAAAAGGCATTTTGCCCATATTAAAAAAAATGGAAAATAAAACAGGAACATTGTAGATTCAACAGTGAAGTCATCACCACTGTCTGCATTGTAACTCACTAACTTGTAGATTGGACTTTCCTGTTTAAAGTTGTATGTTAACTGTGCCAGTGGAATATAATGGCAGACTCAAGATCACAATGCAGGGAATTCATCCTTTGCAGAACGCATTTTTGCAGCCAAAAGACTGTGCAAGTATTTTCAACGAAAAATCAACAATTGGTCTTCGAGCAATGGGACTTTCAGAACATGTACAAGTTGACTACACAAAACAGTTGGCCAAAAACTTTGCAGGAAAGTACAGACGGAAGAGTATGACCCAATTCTGTCAACTTACTGTGTGTTGAGAAATAAAGAATATACTGTGAAGTCCTAATGCCTGAAATCTGAGTAAGAGGAAGGATGAATCTCTTGTAGAGTAGAACTGGGATAAATCACTTTCGGATTTCCAAAGGATTACAGAATTAAAGCCCTTGCATGGTAACAAACTTCATCCAAGATGAAACATGGAATTAACCAGGAAGGGAAGAGGAGGAGGGAAGAGGAGGAGGGAAGAGGAGGAGGGAAGAGGAGGAGGGAAGAGGAGGAGGGAAGAGGAGGAGGGAAGAGTCATCATATTTTCATTAATTTTAGTTGAACACATTGCTCTATTTCAAAAGAATTCACTATCCATCATAAATTGATAGGCAGATCTGATAGGCAAATACATTTTTTAAAAGACAATCAAGGATTGTTTGAAGTATTTTAAATAGACATAGGCTAACTAACATGGTTAATAAATTACAGTAACACTAAGAGATCATTTTTCAGTTCAATATAGTATTTCATGTTTCCTCACTCCTACAGCAAGTGGAAATTTAAAACTAGGATTCAGAAGACCTGCTTGTTTCCAATCTTAGCAATCCTCATAAAGCAGAGGAGAGAAGGGAGGAAGTCTTCATAGTCCACAGCAGTGACTATGTTTACTAACAGACAAGAGAACAACTCACTTTCTCAAAAAAGTAATCCCTCACAAGGGTCATCAAGTAAAATGCAGAGTAACCTATTTACTAAACACTAGAAAGGCAGAGTGAAACAGATGATGAGTTAAATTTTCTTACATTGTAGATACAAGACATATGTTAATTTCTTGAATGCTGTTGAACTCTCTTACAATTCTGATCCTATCTTCTGATTTTGTATTTCCATCAAGTCTTCGGTAATCTAGCCCAGATGCCATACAGTATTGTTCCAGCACATCTAGCAACTGGGTGGAATAATAAAAAAAAGATTAAGTGCTTACTATTATCTTTTTAATTAAACATAATCACAGAGACCATGCTTCTCAAATATATTTTCAAGAGACCAGGCACTGAAAATAAGAGTAAATCTTCCCCATTTGATATCAACATCCTCAAAACACTTTAGCTGTGATTCTACAGCACTCAAGGTGATTTATGTTGGTCTGCTATGGTCTCACTCAATCCTCCAACCCTGGCTGCCTGTCCCACCTCTAAGTGATGCTGAGTCAGTTCAACCCAATAACCAGGCAGACAACTTAAACAGTTTCCTATCATCTTAGTAAGTTACAATGACTTGAAGTACAGTAAATAAGCACCAGAGCCAGCACAGAGAAACAGGCTGGTATGCACAGCAGGAGTTCAAAGGGAGAGAGAGTGAAAGAGACTGCAGTAACCAGCAGTCAGTCTGGTCTTCAACACCGTGAAGCACAGCCTAAGATACCTGAGCATTTTACTACCACATCTAAATATTAAACTTGCAGTCTGCCTTAAAGCCGCAAAATTATTAAATATTGAAGACTCTGAACTGTCATTCACACTATTTTTTTAATACTTTTTATGCTATCATTACGAATATTTAAGTAAAGAAAACCGTATCACAGTTTACACCATTTCAGGAAATACGTTATTTCCCAACACGAAAATCAAGGAGCAAGTCCCTTAAAAAGTGAAGTGCGCCTACACCTCTTGCTCCAGTTAAACACTGTTTTCAGTTCAAACCAACTGGTGTAATAAGTCTCGAGGCTGAAATTTCATCACTGGTGATGGTCAACAGCCAGTAGAACAGCGGAAATTTACCTACTTTCAGTGCGAACACAAAGGTTTTATGATACTTCAGTTGTATTTTGCTGTGACACTACTCTAACTCAAGACATAACAGCTGAACTCAGTATGAGCAATCTACACCTGAAGTAATACAACAATTTTAAAAAGTTCTAAGGAAGGCAGCAGAGTGTTACATTTGTTTTGCCATCACCATTTTTATCACGAGATAACATTAGGTTTCAACATGCTTCTAGAGTATGGCACACTGCCCTTCTCATCATTATTTCCCATAGTACAGAGACAAAGGAAATGTGCTTGACAGCTGTCACCTCAGTGCTTTAAGCTTAGAACCTACTGCTGCAGTTAATTGATAAAAGTCATATGGAGCTCACCTTTGTGGAAAAGGAGAAAAGAAGAACTTTATCCTTGTTTTTTCTGAAGTGATTTAAAAGCTGCTGAAGGACCTGTAAACGAACCACAGAATACAAATGAAGAGATTTTATCTACAGGTCCTCTCACACACACTTACTTGTGTTTTCAGCCTTTAAACAGGCTACACTGTAATTAATTGTTTGCAAAGCCAAACAGAGGCATAACAAAAAACATCACTAACATAATAAATGTGCGAAAGGTAACGGAGACGCCAGACCTATGCGTTTTTCAGTGATCTACATAGAAATCCTACTATAAAAAGGCAAACATACTACTAACAGGTAAATTCAGAAGCTATCTGTGTCATTGCATAGACTGCAACAAAACGTTATTTATCTCATGCACTAGGTCAGCTTGTGAATTTTTGCATTTAGCAAATACACACAACTCCCCTGAAAACAGGAAGGTCTGTTTAAGTTTTCTGTACTACATCTGAGTTCAGAACTTCTTGGAACTTGTCTTCTTAAAATAATCAGTGAGATGTATGCCCCTCCCTGCTCCCACTCGTCTGTTGCTCTGTTTACAGTAGGATCCAGCTTCCCAGACTCTGCACAGACCTTAAATGCCAATAATCCGCCCACACACAATGTTCTTCTGGTGGGGAAGCAAATAATCCAGAGCCTTGCGTATAATAGTGATACTGTTATTTTCAAAAGAAGCATGTCCACATCTGGCAATGGCAGCTCCAGAGTACTGCGCAGAAGCGATACACAAAGGGGAAAGAGGCATTTTCTATACCATGTCTGTAGCTTTCTCCCACCGGGCAATAAATATTTAAAAATTGTATTTATTCAGGGATAAATACATAAACTGTTAATCGACACTGATTTCACTAAAAGCCTAACAAATCTTTGACAAATAAATAATGAGGAATGTTTATATTAAATTTACAGTTCTGGATAATATCTAGAATATAGAATAGTAATTCTACATAAATTATAAGCCCTTTTGTATATATTAGCCAGCCAGTTACAAGTGAAAGCAATGTACAAACAAGGTAATTTTTGCCTGGTTTCATTGTACAACATATAAACCAGGATTTATTTTATTGGGAAAAAATCCACAAGAACTTAACAAGAACTAATTGACTTTCATTTGCATTTTATTTAGCCACATTAAGAAACAGAAGAAAAACAGTGACATGCTTTTAAGGTAGAAGGAATTTGGCTACTGTATTGTTGTTATTATTAAAGTATAGGTCAAGTAATGAATTTCCTATAGGAGAACACACAAACAAATCCACCCAGTCTGTTTAAATAAAATGGATCAATGCCACGCCCATTGGGATTTTAGGTATTCTGGAGTAAAGAATAGCTCTGATGAGCACGGAAAAGTAATGAATGGTTTTGCACCAAAGAGAAATAAATTCTATGCTTGCACACCAGAGTATTATCCTGAAAGTTGTTAGTCTAAAATAGAAATACTTGATCGTACTCAAGCAAAAGTAACATGCTCTTTGTTAGGAGTCCACATGGATTAACATGCATATCTCCCCATTTCTACAACATTGTGTTTGACATGTCACTGTGAGATGTAAAATTTTATCACATCTGAGAATACCTTGTTTGCATACAGATGTCCAAGCTAGCCTATAGTGTTTTAAAACCTTCAAAACCATGCCTGCCCGGGTTAGGGTTATGTTTAATAGTGGAAGTTGCTATTATTTGCAAGGTGTTCTGATAGACTTCCATTTTCCTACTGCAATAATGATAATATGCCAGGCAAAATAAATAAATAAATCCAATATAGTTGTTCCTATAGACATTTATATTAAGAACAGTATTCCAAAACGCCACAAATGGATGCCTGTGGAAATACTATAAACATAGTTTTAAAAAAAATTTTTTTTCAAGTGCCCAGACATTTAATAGCCCTTTTCACTTAGAAAGCATGTAGAGTCTCTCTGAGCCAGAATTTTAACAAAACTGTAGAAATAATCAAAATAGTAATGAGAATTACTGCAGGCTTTTAAAAGTACCCTCATTTTTCTTACTTCTTTTCCAAACAGGCCCCGATACTTCTGCGTGAACAATCTCCAATCTTTGTGTTTAAAAAGCAATGGAATCGCTTGTCCTTGCACTTCGCAGGTTCCCACTTCCTTACTTCATGATGGAAAAGGGTGGTTTCCAAACAAGGCAGCACACTCCTTTCACTTCATTTTTCACATATTCAACTATTTCAAGTTAAAAATCTAGGCATGAAATTCACCTTGCAATAGAAAGTGTAAGCAGTCTTCTGAAAGCTGCATGTTTTACAGTATAATTGAAAATGAAGGGATAATTCCACAAAAATAGCTGAAGTTCAGATCACATCACTGTGTTATTACCCACCTCCCACCATAACGAGGAGGCATTAGTCATAGGTATACCAACAACAGTTATACATGTATGTTTGGATTATAGGAGCTGTTTTTTCCAGGCTCTTGTTATAATCTTAACTTCAGAACAGCAAACCTGGGGTGGCATGTTGTAAATGCTACAGCTTGCAAAACACGTAGGGATGACTGCAGCCACAGCACAAGGTAGGACACAAACACCAATATGCCACACTCTCACACTTCCGTTTGAGCAATTCTAGTTTTACTGGTGGCAGTAGGCATATTCCACAGTACAAAAAGCTATGTTTCCCTACGTGTTTTATCTCTGCTTGGTGACAGAACAGAAGGTATTTTAGCAGATAGGTTAACCTTTTCAACCCTTCAGAACAGTTACAACTGCTTAGCTAATGAACTTCTTCGACAAATCCTAGCCTTTCCCCCACCCTGATTAAATTTAAATAAATGCCACAAACTTTTCCTTTGCAAATATGCTCATCTACAAAGAATAATCACCTGTGCCAAAATTTCTGGGTAGCCTGTACTAAATTTTAATTTAAAGGCCTAAATACCTATTCTGTCTATGCTACCAGATGAAAGTCACAGAAGAAGGACATTGAGGTGCTGAAGCATGTCCAGAGAAGGGCAACAAGGCTGGTGAAGGGTCTGGAGAACAAGTCTTATGAGGAGCGGCTGAGGGAGCTGGGGTTGTTTAGCCTGGAGAAGAGGAGGCTGAGGGGAGACCTCATCACCCTCTACATCTACCTGAAAGGAGGCTGTAGCGAGGTGGGTGTTGGTCTCTTCTCCCAAGTAACAAGCGATAGGATGAGAGGAAATGGCCTCAAGTTGCGCCAGGGGAGGTTGAGATTGGACATGAGGAAAAATGTCTTTACTGAAAGAGTGGTTAAACATTGGAACAGGCTGCCCAGGGAAGTGGTTGAGTCACCATCCCTGGAGGTATTTAAAAGACGTGTAGATGAGGCGCTTAGGGACATGGTTTAGTGGGCATGGTGGTGTTGGGTTGACGGTTGGACTCGATGATCTTAGAGGTTTTTTCCAACCCTAATGATTCCATGATTCTATGATTCTAAGTATTTCAATTAGTTTCTAGAATTTATTCATAGAACAGGAAACATGAAGTATTACAGTGGGACAAGGCTATTAAAAACATTTTACTACAATTTGTCTCATTTATTTCCAAATAAACATGTTAAAAATAATTAAAGTAGTTTTCAAGCTCTAGTATCTGATGACTCTCCTGATCACTTTCTGATGGTAAGAGGACCTTCTAAATGGAATACCTTCTGAATTACTTTGCTTCCAGAGCATAAAAACCAAAATCATCCCAAACAGCTTCTGGTTTAAAATTCAGAATAGAAAACAAAACAGCTAATTTAACAATAAAGTTGACTTTCATGAGGTAACAAAGTGTATATAACAAAGGTAATATGCAGGCCTCTCATGTATGTAATAACAGAAAAGAAAGATGTTGCTTGCGTAATAAATCAATAAAGTGGTAACAACCATTACTGTTACAAAAAACCTGGCCCGACCACTGCCTCCCCCCCGAGTCCCAACCAGCAACTGTGAATATCCAGGTTTAGAGAGAGAGCAAAAATATAGTATACTCCATTCTGCATAGCTTCTCACGCTCCAGTTACTCTCAGCTCACGAACACTCCTAAACCTAATACGGTATTCTTTTTAATCAGCTACATTAGACATCTTTTTCAGTTATTCATCCTGTTCCCCTCTGAAACCAGTTTGAGGTAAGGACTTTTACAGGTTTACACTTAACATGTTTATTTTGTTCATCTTTAGCCTGGCTCCCATTAGCTTTATTTCATGTCCAAAGGGTTAGAAAAGACAGTAAGCACTCAGTACATCTTCACCAGTTCCATGCTACTCATGATTGTCCCTCTCACATTCATCCTAAGACATTTTTTCCAGGCTGGAGAGTCCCAGCCTATGTGGTTGCTTCTGTCCCACAGCACTGATCACCCGTGTGGCCCTTCTCTGAACCTTTTCAAGGTCTAATACGTGCTTTTTGGGAGGAGGGACTGGAACTACCCACAATATTGAAGGTGTGCACAAATGTAAGTCCATATGGATTTTGTTTTGCTCTCTTTTTCTTCCCCAAACACTTCTGACTGCCACTGAGTCGATGGTTTCATGGAACTACCTGTCATGATATTATTATGACCCCAACCCCCTTGACTGCAAGGTTCGTTTCCATGACCATCACTAAATATGTGAAGCTAACGTCTTAGGATATCTTAGCATCACAGATCACTCGTATCCAGTCTTTGCCTAGAGTCACCCCGATCCAAAACAGGAGATCTCTGCTGTGGTACCACCACCATAAATAGAAAGATTAAAAACCCACAACTATTAGATGTACATTTTCTTATATCCATATACTACAGCTGCAGATCTATTACTTAATACTTATTTTTCCCCTAGAGAACAGGTTTACCTTCATTTTTCCACTGTACTTTGGATCCGAAATTGTCTCAAAGGCTGCATCTTTGCTTAACTGCACAAAATCTGGAAAACTGGAAAATACCTGGCTGCACACCCGTTTGATATGTGCTTCCTGGAAGAAAAACAGAAGGTTTGAAAAGGCATTAAAAATTAGAGCTACATTGAGATACCAGCAAGCCATACAAGGAGTTAAAACAAGGTTGAAACAAGTAATCTGCCGAAGTAACTCAAGCAGAGTTACATGTTTTTATTCAGTTCACCACAGAAGTGGTGGATAAAACATCTCCTGTGTGTTTGGTTTGCTTCATATAAAAAAGAAAGAGGATCCTAATCTGAAACCATGGATTCCAGTTGCTAGAGTAAGAGATGCTCAAAATTTCTTCTCCTGGGCAGAGACTGCAAAAGGACTGGCCAGAATTGTCAGTCTCAAGAACTCTGTTGGCCTGAGGTTTGCATTACCCAACAGCTGTGTACCAGCATTTCTCTTGACCCTCTGGCATGATAAGCCAATATGGGAATTATATATTGTCCCACCAATATGACAAAAAACAATATGGGAAATGCATTTAAACTGTTCAAAAGCCACATTAAAGCTCCACTGCTAGAATTTGGGTAGCTCTGAACTTAAACATGACCACACACTTTAAGTCTACTTTTCCAGATGAGCAGAAAAGATCTCATCTCTCAGCTACGAATAACACATGTGGTGGACTTTAATACTAAATGTAGAAATACTACAAAATATCAGTTTCTTCAGCAGGTTTGAAGAGGTTAATAGTTAGGTATGCCGTAAAAGACAGTAAGTCTCAAAATACTCATATATTTTTATTTCAGCGGCTATTTAAACTCTCAAATGTTATTACAACAAAACTACATACACAATATTAAAAAAAAGAGACACTGAAAACATCTGGATATTTACTGTGTATACGGCCCTGGATACTAACAGTAACATTTCCTAAAAAGCAAAACTGCCTTAATGGAACAAACTTGCCAAAATTAGCTAGGATTTTTTTTGAAATTTTCATTTCCATTCCCTTGTGGCTTCTGAGACGAAGTGGTAATATCCCTAAATCCCTTTGCTCATTTTTGGATCTTAAGGATCACATACAAGCATTTTTAACAACTCTGCCATTTGTGGGTCTTGTAGGTTACTTGCCACAGTAACAAGATAAACTGATACTGTTCTCTCATTGCGCATTTTCTACTAAAACATATTTCTCATTAGTTAAAGAAGCTCAGCTCTGAATACAAAATGCTAGAGAAAAAACCATTCTAATTGCTTATTATTTATTCATTTGCACAAAGACATTCCTCTTACTAGGCACTTGTCATAAATGCAACAGAAATGGCATTATTAGAAACATTGGAGAGCTTTAGGGGGAAGAGTAATTTTTAGTTATTTCTGTAACCCTTATTTTCAGATATGCATCAACTAAGTGAACATACTTTTGTGTAACATCTCTACCTATTAAATAAGGGCTACATTCTGAATTACTGAATGGAAAAGGAATTTTGCAAAATAACTTAATGTCAGTTAGTTAAGACTTAAAAAGAAGGTCAGCAGCAGTTTTCATTCCAGAGTTTTCATCCCATTTTCCGCCGCAAGTATTTTTTAGATACTTCTGAAACTAACCTGCTGCTTGCTACTGTTGTCCGTCTGCAGCAGCGCAGCATGATTTGCAACCTTCTGTAGGATTGTCAGGTAACTGAAGCGCAGTGACTTAATTGTTTCACCATGAGCATTTACCTACAAAAAAAAAAAAGAGAAAGAATGTTTATGCAAACAAATTCTCCTGAAAATAAGAAATAAGCTAAAATAAGTGCTATTCTTACAAGGTTTAATGCATTAGCGATTCTAAGTAGTACTATAATTGATCCCAAAGAGATGTATACTGTATTTCTAACAAAAATGCAGCAAGGGTTTTTTCCTCAGCTTTGTGATCCTACTGATAGAAAACATCTTCTCAAAAAGAGAAAAAACCCACAGCTATGTTCATAGTTTGCTAAACATTTCAGATAGCGTGATATCTACAGAAATTAGTACGATAACCAAGAATTCCTTGATAGACAAAAAGACAGTAACTTTACAACTGATTTAAATGTAAATCAAACCAGAGCTGTTTGAATGACTTCTTACCCTACAACTGCTAACTTTATACATTTCTGCTGTAGAGGAAAGTAAAGTTTTATAAACATCTCAAGTAACATAATTCAAACAACTTCAAACATTCTACAATGCAGCAGCAGCAACAGCATCAGCTATTTTTCTGGTTATGGCTGGCTGATTCAACCAACATTTGCTTTCCTTTCCCTTCTCAAGTTACTAAATTTCATGGTTAACTTTGGAATAAGACAGTCCATAAAAGCACTTAAGTATCTGCAGGCCTGCCTAATGCCCTCTGTGAATTAAGTTCAACGGCATTTTACTTTTTTCTACAAGACATCACAAGAAACAGAAGCCTGCAAAGAACTAACACTAGTATCCACAGAATACTAAACAGGCTCTATCAGCCTGGGATTGTTTTTAAAGACAGATGCAGAAGACTGAATAAGCTACATTTGGAAAAAAAAACCCAAACAACTATATAAGAATCAAAACAGACCAGAAAGAAAATGGGGAGAAGCAAGTATGAGACATACGCTTCTAGATGTTAAAAAGACGTGCTTAATCTGAGCCTACTGAGTGATACGGACAAAACAAGTACAAAGCTAGACTAATCGAGTGTTAATGAAGTCCAGAGACAATAGAAGAAATCTACAGAGCTGTTACTTGTGAACAAAGTTCTGCTTGTGCTCTATGGCTACTGTCAGGAGTTCTCCCTTCAGTGAAGCAAAGCAAAGCACATGTTCAGTGGCACAGAAAGATACAATCCAACTGTTACAACACAAGCAAAGCCCAGACAACCTGCTGGGTCAGGGTGCCTCTGATTTGCAGCTTCTGCACTGACCACCTGAGGCGTATGGGAGCAGCATGCCTGACACATACTGAACATCCCAATACAATATTCTTGCCAACATCAACTGTTCCACAGGTGCACTTATTAATACAACAAATCCAGAATTTACTGCATAAATAACAACCACCTGCTCTGGGCATGCAAAGCAGCTTTGCTGTAATCCCAAAGTGCCTAACTCCATCATGCTCATGACGCAACCACCCATGTTTCCAGTTGAGATTTCCCAAATAGATGGCCTACAACCACGCAGCCTTTTCAATCACCTCTTCATCAGCAGAGAGTCTCTCAAGAAAATCTATCTACCACTCAAATCAGAAAGACTATGTTCTAAAATCCAAACAGTGCAATTTCTTACTTTGTAACAACAGTTCTTCCTTTTACGGCCACTCTTGCAGCTACAGGGCTCTCCTGCTCGTAATACTAAGCTTACATCCTCTGTCTCTAGCACAGCCTGGTACACCGCTTTCTGGAATTCGGTCAGGGAACAGTATACCATCTGCCAAAGAGAGAGAACCCCAAAACACAATTATGTGCATCATACAATGAAAAAGCAAAGAGCACTGCATCAAAAAACAAAACATTGAAAATAAAGTAGAAAACAAGAACATATTTGGTCAAACAGTTACATGAAATTATTCTACCACCAAATGAAGAAGTCTGGATCTTGACACCAAAATAGTATGAAAATGTAGCCAAAATGTATGTATAGCTATTTTACCCCCTCCCAAAATTCTACGAAGAGTATCAATATCAAGCTACAACAACCTGCTGTTAGGTTTCTATAAACCTTTCAGTATGGCTTTTGTGGAGGGATAGGAGGAGGAGGGAAAAATGGGAGAAATAAATGCAAAATTGTAATTAAGGATTCCCCTCTGCTTTGCCAGTTGCTTAATTTACCCTTTCTTTCCTCTGTTTAGGCACTAGCTGTTGTAGGGCACTACCACAGGCAGGACAAACAGAATAAGCAATGAGAAGGCAAGGATCTACACAGTGCTATGGCCAAAACTCTTATCCCTCTTCTTAGAGACCATGGGTGGTGTCTCCATGACATCTTTAGTCTTAAGCAGCAGGAGACAGAAATCCCAAGATCATTCCTTAACGTAGGCCACCCACACAGCAGCAGCACCATGCTGAGCTATAATAATACAGCAGTAACTTGAACATATACTCACATTAACAAGAGAATGAAAAGAATAAAACCTGCTAGATTTAGAAAAGCAACTGACTGACGTTTGTGTTAATCTTTCCTTCAGAAGACAGTTTAGATGACATTATTATACACTAAGGATGAAGAATAAATACCAAATTTTGAAAACAAAACCAGCTGCAAACTAATGTGTTTGTCTACTTAGAAGGAAAGCACAAATATATCTAGTAAGAATTTATCAGAACTCTTAGCTATAGTCATAAGTATCATCACTTTATATAATGTTTACAATACTGTTAGATGAACAGGATTACAGACCTATCAACAATCAGCTTTAGGTTTGGGGGTCTTTTATTTAGTGATTGAAAATGAGGGAGTTAAAAATGAAAAGCATACTGTTCCATGTACAAAGTGTCAAGCCGCAAATTCAGAAGTCCTACATAGAATTTCAAGAGATTTACATACATTGCATGGGGTTTGCACAGATAAATACAAAAGTGCACATAAAACAGATGTGTAAATCACTAGTCAGAAGTCTAGCTGAGCATTTTCATGCTTGATTAACTCCATTTCAACATGCAATCATAGTAATTATGTGAACAAAGCACACTACCGCATGTGCATTTTTTCTAAGGCTCTGGATTCTCCTTAAATTCGTAAGTCCAAAAGAAAACCATAAACTACTAAAGGCATGACGAAAGAGAAAAAACACAACAAAAACAAAAAAAGAAGAGATATATTCATTAGCATTGCATTTGACATGTGCAGGCACTCTTACTCTGTCTTCCTTTTTTGGCAACTGATCACTGATAAGCGCTTTGGTACGTCTCAGAAACCAGCCAGACATTTTTCTTGCTAGCTTCACCATGGCCTTACGACCTGTTGCTAGCTCTCTTTTAGTTGCAGTGTGCCTCTGGCCATGCTCCACTGGATCAGAAAATTTCTTCTTGAAATGTAGTCTGCTACCCAAAAGTCCTGGTACAGCCCTATTAAAAAACAAAAGGGGGGTGTGTGTGTGAAGGAGTAACAGCATTTTCTTTACTCCAAGGCAGTCTATCCTTTTCCATTGATTAAAAGCATACCATAAATTATTTCTGGCTAACAGCAGGAGATCATAAATTAACAATCACTAGAGAAATTAATAAAAATTGTGTGTATATATATAGAAACATATACTACTTCCAGACATGCCATTTTTTCATTTACTGTGATCCTCAAATGTTAAGAGAGTCCCCTTAGGAAAGGGTTGCCATCTCCAGAAAAAACTAAAGCTCAGCAGAGCAACAGAATTCACAAGTATATAGAACCTCTAAACTACAAAACTGGTACTGTTCAGAAGCCTAAATTGGAAGCTAAGCAGTCATGTTTTCTATTTTTACTGCTTTTATTAAAATCAGGTTATGCAGATACTGCAATTTACTAAGTAAAATCTTAAAAAACCCAATAGGAGAAAGAATTTGGTAATCATTGGCAGCACTACATATCGGAACAATCTATTAGTATCAGCATAGGATGCAACACTAAGTTTACTGTTAAAGCATTGCTTTCCTGATATTTCAATTCAGTCTGTATTTCCTTTATTTAAGGCATGTTTGCTTTGTTCCTCCTCTGTAAAGCATCCTCAGTAAGTCTTCTACGTTTACATTTATATCTAGGGTTATTTCCACCTCTCCCTCTCCATTAAAAGTTTTCCTAGACAAGACTGTTGCTTTCCAAATATGTGCACTTGTGCATTTTGAAAAACAGCAAAATATTACTACTTTCAACTTCCAAGTAAGTCAGAATGACCTGCACATATTGGACAGAGCAAAGTCAAAGTTGTTCGAAACTGTCTAATGATTCTCAATCTACTGTGTGGAGGAGAGACGAAGAAGAAAATAGAAAATGCCCTTAAAAAAGAAAGGCAAACATAAGGGAAAAAAGAAAGTAATTTTAACTGCTTCCCAAGTTCCCCAAAGAAACCAGATAAGAGAAACTCCAAATTTATTAAATAACTGCAAAATACATACTGCAGATGTACCTACCAGGAGCTTACCTCCAATACATCTGTGGAAAAACATACTTAGATTCTCACAAAACATTGGGGTTTTTTGGGGGAGGGTTGTGGATTGTTGGTTTTTTGACACAGATGGGTCCAAATCATCTAGCCCTATCCCAGTCCCACTGCATGGTTAACATATAGAGGTCTTAAAATCATAAAAAAAATATTTTATTTACCAGTCCATAACACACCAAAGTTCCTTCATATTGTTTTGAAGAATGGTTCCAGTAAGACCTATGCGAACACTGCACTTTAATGACTTCATGGTTTGAGTTATTTGAGCCTTTGGATTCTTGATTCTATGTGCTTCGTCTACTATCACAGCAGACCATTCTACACTGCAGATCAACAAGAAATATTGTATTAACTGAAACTACTTATCCCATCATCCCACATAGACATACAAACTGAAGTCAGCCACACACATAGCCGTGATTATTATAAGACACTATTACTTTTTGGTTTTCCTGTTTTACATTGTATTATACTGCTCAGTTTCCTTATATTCTGTTTGTTTAGTAGATCCAGTTGCCGTAGTTGAGTATAATGGCTAAACTATATAGTCAAATAAATGAACTACTGTTAACTCTATCAAATGCTTTCTGTGAAGAAGGCAGCTTTCAATCTCTGGAGCAATCAATCCAGTACATCTCACCAGCACTAATTCCATTTGTAAGATTTAGAAAAATTAAATAAATCTCTGAAGGTAAACTATTGAAAAATGCTTAACACAGGTGTGCTTCATTTTTCCAACAAAACCTATCCAGTGTAACTAGAAATCGACTGAAAGCATTTCAATCTGCATTGTTTCCTACATGAAAGCATCACTCAACTTCTTTAGTATCTATATGATACCAATATGGCAGAGGAGTTTTAATATTCTGTGATTTTTATGACTAGAAGAAACATATCTAGAAGCAGGGACCGAAAGATATTTTGCAGCCAGTTCAAGCATAAAACTTGGAGGTAGAATGACCTGTATAGTGTGATACTAATTTAAGTCATCAAGTCACTAGGAAGAGATTTACTAACTTCATGAGATCGCTTTATATGTATGAATGAATATTTCAGAACAAAATCATATCCACTTTGATGATACTTCAAGCAGCAAAAAGGTGAAACAGACATGTTCAGAAGGAAACCTCTCATCTGAGCAGGCTGTGTTTAGTTCACTGATCTGAAGGCTGATCTTGTGGCACTTTTGATGCCTGCTAAATACAGTCATTCATATCTGAGTTCCTTACATTTCTAAAATCTGCTAAAAAATTGAGTTTCTGAAAGGAGCCTAACAGATGACCATATGCTAGCTCCTTCAACTTAATCTCTTATTATGCTGATTTACATGCATAACTGAGTCTACATACTCTTATTAGTGATAATTAATTACTTAAGACCAGTTTTTGAGGCCAATCCATCAACCTAGCTAAGCAAGACACATAGCTTCTTCCAGTGTCAAGATCATAGGCCCATCTAGTCACATGCTCTGCAGAAAGAGTTTGGTAAATCTGTATGCTGAAATAATGTATTTGCAAGCAGTCAGTCACACATCAGACCTGCTCTGCACATGCACCTATTTCCTGACCACTGTCTATTCAATGACCAAGCCTGAAGAGTTCCTCAGAAAGACAACAGCAAGAATTAGGGTACTGGTAACACAACTCCTTTAGTCTTCTCCTATCTGCACTTCTTTCTCAGACCTGAGCATAGACAGAGCTGGAGATCTGATTGTTTTGGTGATGGCTGCCCAGAACACGAGGACACTTGCTGGGGTCTGGACCTTTCCTAACACCTAAAACAACAAGATCTGCGAGCTACTGATAATATCAGCTGCTAAGGGCAGGTGGCTACTACTAGCTATTCACACAACTTGTACCCTACTTCCAAGATGATGTAAGGAAAGAGGACTACTAGGATCAGATGAGAGGCTAAGTACTCCAAAGGAAAGGCAACACTCCTAGTTTGGAAATGCTGACAGCTATGGAGCAAATAAAGTGCAATTTCTAATACAATCTCCCGTCAGAAAGATCTTGATTCTGGTAAGTCCACCAGGTATTTAAAACTACACACACAGACACATATACACATCTTAGATCTCAAAGTTTTTAGATCTCAAGAGTTTCATCAAGCGGCAAGGTGAAAACTGCAAATAACAAGGAAAATACCTTTTGAACATTTGCTAAAAATTCCAGATTTTTTTCTCCTTACACTGTACTGAAAGATAGAAATATCTTCTGCATATCTTTTAGCTACCACCAGTTTTCAGGCATGCAATTCCTGCATCTTTTAGAGAACACTTCATGAACAGGTTAACAGCAAAAACTAGCTTTATGAAAACTATTCAAACTTCTCCCAAGCATCCCACTACAAAGATAGTACAGGGTAAACTCTCCAAAGATAGTTAAATGGGATTCTCCTCTTCAACACAATGAGTCATTGGATTTAACAGTAAATACATTATACAGAAAGAATAAGTACTTGCAAAGAAGAATGCAAACTTAGACAGACAGTTAAAATTCCATGTGTAGAAAAATGCATTAAAATAATTACCTGTTAAATTCATCCAAATACAGGCGAACTGTCTCATACGTTGTAAGGGCAACTTCACATTTTCCTTGCTTGATGCGACTCAGGTCATCATCCTTTTTACTGCCATGTAAGACAGAGACCTTAAAGTACCCCCATGTGTCTAACTCATCCTTCCAGTTGTACAGCACTGAAAGAGGGGCCACTATGAGGAAAGTCTGAAAACAAATAGCTGTTATAGTATTACTAGAAAAACTACAACATAGCACTTTCTCACTAAGGAAAGTAAAAATCTTGAAATTTATTTTACTGCTTTATAGTTCGAATTGTTTGATTCTGTCACTTCAAAGCATAGCATAGAAAATATCTGAAAACTCAATATAAATTCAAAAGTAATCAGTTTACTCAGGTTATGTAAATAGTACAGAAGAAAAACACTGTAATACTACAAAAGATACCAAAATAGCGCCACTTACTCAGATTATACTCTAACAACTGCAATAAGACATGAGATACTATCACTTTGCTTTGTTAAACCATCTGTATCTGTGTACCATAAAACATTTAACAGATGGAAAAAACAAAAGGATGAAGAGGGTAAGCACCTTCCTTCAACCCACAAGTCTAGTCAATATATGACTTCAAAACAGAAAGACCTGAAAAGAGTTTAAAAATTTGAGACAGCTTGTACAACTCATTTAATATCATAGGACAATAAAATCCATGAGGTGGGAAGGGATCTCAGGAAGTTTCCAGTCCAGCTTTCTGGTCAAAGCAGGGGCAACACTGAATTCAGACATTT